TGCGAGAGAGAGAGAGAGAGGGGAAGGGTGAAGAGAGAGAGAATAGAGAGTGGTAAGAGAAAGAGAGAGGAGGGAGAGGAAAGGAGAGAGAGGGGAGAGAGAGAAAGAGAGAGGGCGGAAGAGGCAGAGAGAGAAAAGAGAGAGGGGGAGAGGGAGAGAGAGAGAGAGAGAGATGTGAGAAAGAAGAGGAGAGAGTGTATTTGTCCATTTTCTTTTCTTTCTTTCTTTTCTTTCATTTTCTATCTCTGTTCTCTCCTCTTTTCCTCACTTTCCCATACATACTTTTCAAATCTTTGGGTCTTTTTATATTTTCGTCCTTAATTCCATCCCTTACCTCTTTACAAAATAATGTTTTCGTGCTTAGATTATTTAATTTTACTTTCTATACCATTTTCTTTTTTCTTCCTTTTCTTAGATTTGCTCTCGTACTTATGGTGCGGATAATCAGCACTCTTCTTTCTCGTGCCGGGAGGGGGGGTAAAGTGTGTCTTTTTTTTTTGTGTGTGTGTGCGTTTGTGTGTTTGTGGGCGTGCGTGAGTGAGTGAGTGAGTGTGATGTGTGTGGTGTCGGGTCATGGTATGTGTCGTGTGTGTCTTGTATGTGTGTGTGTGCGTTTGTGTGTTTGTGTGTGTGTTGAGTGAGTGGTGGTGAGTGAGTTGTGTGTGTGTGTGTGTGTGTGTGTGTGTGTGTGTGTGTGTGTGTTGTGTGTGTGTGTGTGTGTGTGGTGTGATGTGTGTGTGTGGGCGTGAGTATGTCGGGGGGGTGTGTGTCTTTTTTTGTGTTGTGTGTTGTGTGCGTTTGGTGTTTGTGGGTGTGCTGTCTGTGTGTGTGTGTGTGTTGTGTGTGTGTGTGTGTTGTGTGTGTGTGTGTGTGTGTTGTGTTGTGTATGTGTGTGTGTGTGGGCGGCTGGTATGTGTCTGGGGGGGGGGGGGGGTTAAGTGTGTTCTTTTTGTATCGGTTAGCATTTGCGTGTACAACGATGTGCACATGAATGTTTAAATCATGTAGGCCTATGTGGTAGATTGTATTCTGCGGGTGTGGCCTCGGATACGAACCTATGCTTATGTATGGCATATGTCTGTATACACGTACATGTGCGTCTTGATGTACGTCCGACCTATCCCACCCATCACGAACCGTTGCCAATGAATGAATTTGTCACGGATTAAAAGGCGAGGCTCCATTTTTGGGCGCTTCCTCGGCCTTGGTCAGAGACAGCCTCTCCCTCTCGCCCATAGATCACCAAGAAGGGGCGTTGGAGGGGGAAGGTGGATGGGGGGAGGGGTAGAGGGGGAGGGGAGGTTGGTGTTGGGTAGGGGCACGGGGCATGTCCGTGTACCTTCTCTTGATTAGCATGATTTTCAACTTATGGAAGGGTGTCGACTTTGTTTTTTGTTTTTATATTATCTCTCTCTTTTTCTTTCTCTTCTGTCCTTCACGTGATTTCTCTCTCCATTTTTAAATAATGTTCTCTCAAAATTTCGTCTCCCCCTTTCTTATATCGTATTCCTTTCATTCATCATTCTCTCGTGCCACTCGTTCAATCTGTCCCCTATTCTCTCTCTCTCTCTCTCTCTCTCTCTCTCTCTCTCTCTCTCTCTTCTCTCTCTCCTTCTCTCTCTCTCTCTCTCTCTCTCTCTCTCTCTCTCTCTCTCTCTCTCTCTCTCTCTCTCTCTCTCTCTCTCTCTCTCTCCTCTCTCTCTCTCTTCCTCTATGCTTTCCACCCATCAGACATTCTTTATTCCTCTTTGTCTTTCTCTTTCTTCTTCCCTTTTCTTCCTAGCTATCGACCCATCAGATCTCCCCCGAAGCCAGCCTCCCGTCCATCTCAGAGCCGCCACCATCATCAATACCATTATTTACACCGTGACAGGGAGATAAAGGAATTAGGGACCCTCGTCACTTGCGTTTCTCGAGTGACGCGTCTCTCTCTCTCTCTCCCTCTCGCGACGTCGAGATTAAACACCACAAACTTTCACTCAGCATCTTTAGAATCGGACGAAGCGGCAAAACACGAGCGAAATTATTATCCGCCGTCGAACTTTCACGCGAAATCGTGTCTTGTCTTAGCGAATCGGCGGCGGAGTAGATGATTCTGCGGGTTGTGCTAGGGACGCTTCTGCACGACCTGGAATTAAAAAATTGTGGCAGTTGCCCGGTGTTTGTTAGTGCATGTTGCTTGGGTGATGAAATGGTTCATAGATTGGGGTTGTGTAATTGAGAATTGAGTGTTTGTATGTATTTCAGACAGATATTTTAGGAAAAATGGAAGCTGATTGATATTTGTATGCAACGTAGACATAGAACAGATATATATGGTATTATGCATGTGTAAGATATACATGATTTAGATACAGTAAATTTATGATAGTGTTAATGATCGACATGTATTTACGGCTTTTCAGATAATGAAATATCAACCATAATTATCTGCATTTTCCATCATTTCATGACAGAAATTATGATAAATTAATGATTAAATAAAATTCATTCCAGATCT